AAGTCAAGCAGAGAAAGCCTATTATCATATGGTTTCACTTATTTGTGGAACATAAGGAAAAGCATGGAGGACATTAGAAGGAAGGGAAAAATGAAGGGGGGGAAATCGGAGGGGGAGATGAACCATGAGAGACTATGGACTCCAAGAAACAAACTGAGGGTTTTAGCAGGGAGGGGGGTAGAGGGATGGGTTAGCCAGGTGATGGGTATTAAGGAGTGCACACACTGCATGGAGCACTGGGTGTTATACGAAAACAATGGATCATGGATCACTACATCAAAAACTAATGATGTACTATATGGTGACTAACATAACAATAAAATTAAATTTAAAAAAAATACAATTCTACTATGAAAAAAAAGAAAGTTGTGTTCTTGTGCCAGGTTTTTTGTGGATATAAATTCTGAAGTTACTTGGGTAAATATCTAGGAGCACTACTCCTGGATTATATGGTAAGCCTGTGTTTAGTTTTGTAAGTAATTGCCAGGCTGTCTTCCAGAGCAGTTGTACCATTTTGCATTTTCACCATCGATGAATGAAGAGTTCCTCTTGCTCCACATCTTCGTCAGCATTTGGTGTTGTCAACTTTCTGGATTTTAACCATTCAGATGGGTGTCTAGCAATACTATTGCATTTTGTTTTAATTTGCAGTTTGCAGCTCCCTAATGACATATGTGTGATGCGGAGCATTTTCCATGCTTTTTTGTCATCTGTATATCTTTGTTGAGGTACCTGTTCAGATCTGATGTCCACTTACTGAGTTTTGTTATTGTTGATTTTTAAGTTCTTTGTATATTTTGGATACAAGTCCCTTATCAGATGTGCGGTTTGCTGACATTTCCTCCCAGTCTTTGGCTTGTCTTCTTGTATTCTTGACATCATCTTTCACAGAGCAGTTTTTAATGAGTCCATTTTTCTCTTTTATGGATCATGTTTTCAGTTTTGTATCTAAAAAGTTATCACCAAACCCAGGTCACTTAGATTTTCTCCTATGTTCTGTTCTCGACATTTCACGGTTTTGCATTTTATATTTAGGTCTATTACCCATATTGAGTTAAGTTTTGTGAAGGATGGAAGGTCTGTGTTGAGATTGATTTTTTTCTCCCCCTCACATAGATGTCTAGTTGTCCCAGAATCATTTGCTGAAGGAACTGCTCTTTCTCCATTGACTTAACTTTACTCCTCTGTCAAAGATCAGTTGACTGTATTTATGAGGTGTATTTCTGGTCTTTCTGTTCTGTTCCATGCATGTATTTGTTCTCTTTTTTGCTAGTGTCACAGTCTTTGTTACAGTAGTTTTCTAGTAAGTCATAAAGTTGGATGGTGTGTATTCTCCAACTTTGCTCTTCTCTTCAGTGTTGGGTTGGATATTTATGATCTTTTGCCTCTACACATAAACCAGAGAATCAGTGTGTCCACGTCCACAAAATAATATGGGGGTTTGATTGTGACTGCTGTGAATGTGCAGAAAAGTTGTGAGAACGGACACGTTGGCAGTGTGGAGTCTTCCTATCTGTTCACATGGAGCATCTTTCCATTTATTCACATATTTTTTTATTTCTTTCACCAGAGCCTTATAGTTTTCCTCATACAGATCTTCTACGTATTTTGCTAAATTTATATCCTATTTCATTTATGTTGGTGTTAACATAAATAGTATTGTGTTTTTTGGTTTTTTTTTTAACAAAGTATTTCTTCTCTTTTTTTTAAGAGTTTATTTGAGAGAGACAGAAAGAACACACGAGCAGGGGGGAGGAGCAGTGGGAGAAGCAGGCTCCCACAAGCAGGGAGCCTGACACATGGGTGGATCCCAGGTCCCTGAGATCATGACCTGAGTAGACATTTAACTGACTGAGCCACCCAGGCACCCCAATGGTATTGTGTTTTTAATTTCAAATTTCAGTTGTTCATTGCTGGTGTAAATCAAACCAATTGACTTACAGATTAACCTCTCGTATCCTGTTCCTTTAGTTGCTTATTTCTTGAAGATTTTTTTTGGTGTTTTTGTTTTTGTTTTTTTGTCAGTTCTTTGGGATTTTCTGCATAGATGATTTTATCATCTGCAAAGAGTTTTATTTCTTCCTTTCTAATCTCTACACCTTTTTCCTTTTTTCTTTTCTTTTTTGTCTTATTGCATTAATTAGGACTCCTAGTATCATGTGCAATAGGAGTAGTGAAAAGAGGACATCCTTTCCTTATTCAAGATCTTACGGGGAAAACATCCAGTTTCTCATCATTAAGGCTGTTGTTAGCTGTAGGTTTCTGCAGATGTTCCTTATCAAGTGGAGGAAGTTCTCTGTTCCTTTGCTGAGAGTTTTTATCATGAACAGGTGTTATATTTTGTCAAATGTGTTTTCCACATCTATTGGTACACCATGTGACTTTTCTTGTTTAGCCTCTTTGATGTGATCAGGGTTACACTGATTTTTGAGTGTTAGACCAGCTTTTCATACCTGGAATAAATCCCATTTGGTCATGGTGTATAATTCTTTTTATACACTTTTGGGTTTGATTTGCTAATTTTTTGTTGGATTAAGTTTAGTTGGATTTGATTTTCTAACTTTGTTGAGGATGTTTGTGTCAGCATTCCTGAGCCATACTGGTCTATAGTTTTTTATCCTGTAATGTCTTTGTCTAGTTTTGGTATTAGGGTACTGTTAGCCTCATTGAATAAATTAGGAAGTATCCCCTCTGCATCTATTTCCTGGAAGAGATTGTAGAGAATTGGTATCATTTCTTCCTTAAATGTTTGGTAAAGTTTACTGGTGCATCTGGGCCTTGTGCTTTCTGTTTTGAAAGGTCATTATTTCTTGACTTAATTTTTAAGTAGATATTAGCCTATTCAGATTATCTCTTCCTCTTTGTGTGATTTTTACTAAATTGTGTCTTTCAAGGAATTGGTCCATTTCATCTAGGTTATAAAATTTGTGGACATAGAGTTCTTCATAGTATTCCTTTATTATCCTTTTATTATCCTTTTAATGTCCATGTAATCAGTAGTGATGACCCCTCTTTTATTTCTAATATTAGTAATTCATGTCTTCTCTTTTATTTCTTTGTTAGCCTGGCTAGAGGTTTATTAATTTTACTAATTTTGTTTAAAAACCAACTTTGAATTTTGTTGGTTTTCTCTGTTGATTTCCTGTTTTCAGTGTCATTGATTTCTGCTTTAATTTCTATTTTCTTTTTCTTCTATATTGCCTGCCTTTCCCTAGTATTCTAAGGTGGAAGCTTAGATGGTTGATTTTCTTTCTTTTCAAATATATTCATCTAATACTGTAAAATTCCCTCTTAGCACTGCTTTTACAGCATCTCACAAATTTTGATAAGTTGTACTTTCATTCTCATTTAGCTCCAAATGATTTTGATATCCTTTTAAATTCAGAAACTCTGGTGCATGGGCATTTGCCAGTGTATACAGCAGATAACTCCCTGCCACCTTGTATAGTCAGCTCATTTATAAATTGGGTTTGGGATGTGCAGAAGGTTTGCTTCTGTGCTTATCATACAGAACTTACGGAGTTCTAGAGATATTCTCTCTGAGTCATCCATCCTCTTTAGACATAGGAGTTATTTAGTGTTCTAAAAAAAACAAAAACAAAAACCATTTTCCAAAAAAAAATTTAAACATTTAAAATTCAGTAATTGTCATCTTTCTTTTCTCTGGACTTATAATCACCATAGAATCTACTTTTTGTGGCGTTCCTTATTTATGACTTCCTTATAGGTCTTTCTTCTGTCTATTAAAGACCATAGAGCATCCTACCATTTCAAGGTAAGAAGAAGCTCAGTTGAGAAGCCATCTTAGTATGGTGCATGGAGGACTCTCCCTGATGATTAATGGTCAGGCGGGTGGGCAGACTGAGGCACAGAGAAGCCGAGTCACTTGCAAGTGTCACATAGCTTGTTTTCTAACCATCTTCCAAACTGTATTCTGGATCCAGACATTGACGCCTCCAGTCTGTTTTGAAAAGCCCCTCTTCTGACTCTTCGGGATTGCGCTGTGTTGTCATGTTCATATCCATTATCTCATATGTGACCAGCACAGGCTATCTGATAATTTTGATGGTTTTTATGTACTGCGTATATATACTATATGTGAAATTCCAAATCCTATGAGAAGAGACATGACATCAATAAAAACGTTCCCTTATTCTGAGAGATGATGCAGCCACATTGAAACACTGTATATAAGTTCATTTCACGTGCAGTCCTTCAGAGAGCTGCCCTCATTCCCCCTCAGCACACTGATGGAGTGTTCCCTGGGGGTCAGGCCTGGCGGGCAGAGTTTTCAAGTCTAGCTCCCTTTCCTGCTGCTGGGGCACCTCTGAGAGAGAGTCTTTGCTCCAGAGCCACACACACACCCCACACGTGCACACACACACATGCACATGCACTTGCACATCACTGAATCAGGCTAAGCTCCATCCTCAGGACCTGGACCTGAGACGCACCTTCATTCACTTTCCTTCCCTGGTCCTGCAACCCCCACATCTTTACGTGCTTTCAGAGCCTCCTTTTAGGTTCTCCTTCTAGGGACCCCAACCTAAGCAACCTTCTACTTGAGCTTGTCATACCAAAAAAATATTTTAAAAATCCATGAGTGTTTTGTGGTTTCTTTTATTGGAAGAGGAAGCAGTCCCTAGTTAAAGCACAGCTATGGAAACAGTAGTGACCACCTTTCTCCTTTGATAATTGTCTAGAACATACGTACATACGGCTTTACCGAGACACCCAACATATATTTTATCATTGACACCATTGCATACTTTACCAAGAAATGAAGGTATTCTGTCATTCTGTCTGCTGGGACATTGGCAATTCCCTCCTTCGGGTGTGTGAAGTCTGAAAGCATGCTGAGTGATAGCTAACTAACTCAACTTTGACTTTGATTCTAGGCTCCATGGTCCCCTTTTCGATGCGGATCTTACACGCAGAGCTTCAGCAATACCTGGGCAATCCACAGGAGTCCCTGGACAGACTGCACAAAGTGAAGGCCATCTGCAGCAAGGTAATGATGGCTCCGTGGTGACCTGTTCAATCCTCCTCCCCTCCCAACGGAGAGTACACCCCAGAGGGAGCGTACCACGTTACTTCCTCCCAACCCACCCCAACAACCACCATTATCACTTTCCCCAGAAAGGGTGACCCAATTCATCATGACCACAGTTTTCTTTGTTCTTGCTAAAATTGTTTTGGGGGCAGTGGATGTTTTTTGGCAAAATTTGGGGCCTGAAATCCTTCTTCCTTAGTTTTTGTTGTTGTTGAGGAATAATTAACATACAATATTGTGTTTGTTTCAGGAGTACACATAGTGATTCAGCATCTATGTACATTAGGAAATCGTCACATAATAAGTCTGGTTACCACTTGTCACCGTAGAAAGTTGCAGCACTGTTATTGGCTGTATTCCCCATGCTGTCCGTTACATCCACATGTCTTATTTACTGTCCACTTGGAAGGTTTGCCGCTCTTAATCCCCTTCACCAATTTCAACCATCGCCCCCACTCTGGCAATCGTTGGTTTGTTCTCTGTGTCTCTGAGTCTGTTTCTGTTTTGTTCATTTCATTGTTTAGATTTCACATGTAGGTGAAGTCTTACAAGTCATACAGTATTTGTCTTTGACTTACTTCACTTAGCATAATAGCCTGCAGAGCCACCCATGTTGTCGCAAATGGCAAGATTTCACTCTTTTTACAGCAGTGTAATATTCCATCGTATATATGCACCACATCTTTTTTATCCAGTCGTCATTGATGGACATTTAGGTTGCTTCCATATCTTGACTCTTGTAAATCATCCTGTAATGAACATAGAGGGGCATATGTCTTTTTGAATTCATGTTTTCATTTTCCTCAGATAAATACCCAGAAGTAAACTTGCTGGGTTGTACGGTAATTCTATTTTTAATTTTTTGAAGAACCTCCATATCGTTTTCCAGAGCGGCTGCACCAGCTTATATTCCCTCCAGCGATGCACAGGGCTCCCCTTTCTCCACGCCCTCACCAACACTTGTCATTTCTTATCTTTGATACTAGCCATTCTGAGAGGTATGAGATAATACCTCGTTGTGGTTCTGATTTGCATTTCCATGATAGTTAGTGATGTTGAGCCTCTTTTCATGTGCCCACTGGCCATCTGTATATCTTCTTTAGAAAACTGTCTATTCAGGCCCTCTACCTGGTTGGGCTTTTTAATACTGAGTTTTCTGAGCTCTTTATATAGTTTGGATATCAGATATGTCATTTGCAAATATCTTCTCCTATTCAGTAGGTTGCCTTTTCATTTTGTTGCTGATTTCCTTTGATGTGGAAAAGCATTTTAGTTTGATATAGTCCCATTTGTTTATTTTTGCCTTTTGTTGTTGTTGTTCTTGCCTGAGGAGACAGAGCCAAAAAATACCACTAAAACCAGTGTCAGAGAGCTTACTGCCTATGTTTTATTCTGGGAGTTTTATGGTTTCAGGTTTTATATTTAAGCCTTTATCCATTTTGAATTAATTTGTCTGTCTGGTATAAGAAAGTAGTCCGGTTTCATTCTTTTGCATGTGGCTGTCCAGTTTTCCTGACGTTTATTGAAGAGACTGTCTTTTCCCCATTGCATATGCTTGTGTCCTTTGTCATAAATTAATTAACCATAAAAGTATGGGTTTATTTCTCAGCTCTCTATTCTATTCCATTGATCTATGTGTCTGTTTTTGTGCCAGTACTATACTGTTTTGGTTATTATAGCTTGTAGTATAGTTTGAAATCAGGGACTGTGATTTGTTCCGTTCTTTGTTCTTTCTCAGGATTGCTTTGGCTATTCAGAGTCTTTTGTGGTTCCATACAAATTGTAGGGTTGTTTGTTCTAGCTCTGTGAGAAATGCCATTATGTTTGGATAGGGATTGCATTGAATCTATAGACTCCTTTGGGTATTTTGACAACACTCTTATGGTCCTCAGCACAGAATATCTTTCCATTTATTTGCATCATCTTCAGTTTCTTTCATCACTGTCTTCCAGTTCTCTGAGTATAAGGCTTTCACCTTCTTGGCTAAATTTACTCCTAGATATTTTATTCTTTTTGATGTAGTTGTAAATGGGATTATTTTCTTAATTTCTCTTTCTGATAGTCTGTTATTGTATACAAATACAACAGATTTCTGTATATTGATTTTGTATCCTGCAACTTTAATTAATTCATTTATTGGGTCTAATAGTTTTGGGGTGATGCTTTAGGGTTTTCTGTATACAGTATCATCTGTACTTCCTTTCTAATTTGGATGCCTTTTATTTCTTGTCTGATTGCTGCACCTGGGACTTCCAATAATAGGTTGAATAAAAGTAGCAAGAGTGGGCATCTTTAACTTGTTCCTGCTCTTAGAGAAAATGCTTTCAATCTTTTAGCATTGAGTATGTTAGCTATGGGCTTGTCATATATGGCCTTCATCATGTTGAAGTATATTCCCTCTATATCCACTTCATTGAGAGTTTTTATCATAAATGGACATTGTGTCAGATGCTTTTTCTGCATCTATGGGGATATCATAGGATTTTTATTCCTCATTTTGTTAATGTGGTATATCACATTGATTGATTTGGGGATATTGAACCATCCTTGCATCCCTGGACTATATCCCACTTGATCATGGTGTGTGATCCTTTTATTGTATAGCTGAATTCAGTTTGCTAATACTTTGTTGAGGAATTTGGCATCTGTGTTCATCAGGGATGTTGGCCTGAGATTTTCTTTATTTTTTATTGTTTTCCTAGTGTCTTTGTCTGATTTTGGTATCAGGGTAATTGTGGCCTTGTAGAATGAGCTTGGAAGCTTTCCTTCCTCTTCAATTTTATGGAATTGCTTGAGAAGGACAGGTGTTTACTCTTTTTAAAATGTTTGGTAAAATACACCTGTGAAGCCATCTGATCCTAGACTTCTGTTTGTTGGGAGTTTTTTGATTACTGATTCAATTTCATTACTAGTAATTGGTCTAGTATTTCTTCCTTATTCAGTCTTGGAGGAGTATATGTTTTAGGAATTTATCCACTTCATCTAGGTTGTCTAGTTTGCTGGCATGTAACACTTCTTTAGTATTATTGGTGGATTCAAAGCAGGGAAATACTCTGTTGTGTAAAAATCATATGCCCTTAAATGTGGCAGACCATTCTCCCATCCTGCAAATACTACAAGCACCTGCCTCGTGTCTTACAGAGGCACTGGAACAATATTTAAAGAGATAATGGTTTAAAATGTTCCAGAATCAAAGCAGATTCTACTGTATAATGACAACGGTCCTTCGTAATACTGTCTCCAAAGGCAGATAAGGTTCGGAAGTGCTTTCTGAATTGTTCTTGGTTGGGAAATAACAGTTATGTGGAAGGCACCAAGCTGCATCAACAAAAGACCAAATCATTCCATTTAGTGATATTTGGAGGAAATATGGGATCTATAGAGTCTCCCCATCGCCAGGCTGTGGGCACCCCCGCCTCCCAGACTTCTCGTCCTTAGGATGGAAGTGCAGTGCCTTTCCTGCCTGCCTCGCGGTGCTGCTGTGTGGGTTGGGCGACGCCGTGTCTGTGGAGGGCTTTCCGAACTATGACAACAAGCGGTGAGGTTGGGAGCAGCACGTTAGTGCTCTTTTTAAATGAGATTAGATTCGTCCAGCTCGTCCTTTCTGTTTCCAGTTACTCCTGATGGGGTTTCTGTGGAGGTTTCCCAGGATGGTGGTGTCCTCGGGACTCGCAGCAGGGAGGTAGGTGGGCTCCTCCCTGCACAGAATGCACCTCATTCAAGCACGAGCAGGCATCCTGGGCACCTTACACCCTCCAGCTTTGTACCAGCTCCTGGTTTCTAGAACTTCAGAGACAAACGGAAAACGTATTTTCTTTCTTACACACTGATGAGTTGACGGGGAAATTGTGTTAGCCAACATTTTTTTAGATTCTAACACTTTTTTCCTTGATCCCTGAAACCCAGTTAAGGTAGAATTATATTCAGAAATAAGAAACACATAACTTGTTACTGAGAAATGTGAAGTCAGTGATTTTCTACACTGTACGCAGATGATCTGCCTCCATATGTACCTGAGAGGAAATGCCTAGTGTTACAGGGACTTGAGGGTCGGAGAGAGACAGGAGTTCTGCAGGTCAGTTTTCCGGCGCTGAGGCGGCCTGTATCTTCAATATCGAGCTCCGTAGCTCGGGAGGCAGGGTCACGGTGGGAGGTGAGGGCGGGTCTTCCACCACCACGGCTCTAGGCTACTCGTACTTCTACTGAACATGTCGTGTTCACCAGGAACCAGCCTCTGGTCCTAAGCATTTTTCAAATATTAGCTCATTTAATCCTTACACAAACCCTATAACTAGGGGTTCTGTTACGCCAGTTTACAGCTGAGTGAATTGAGGCACAGAGAGGCTGACTAACTTGCCTGTGATCACGTGATCTGACCCAGGTTGTCTGGCTCTGGGGTGCGTGCTCCAAATCACACGCCTGCCCAGCGTCTTTGCTCCGTCCAGCAGGAGCACGTCTTCCTGTGTCTGAAGTGGCCTCTCGCACAGGCCGATCCTGGAGATGGGGTCATGCCTGTGCTCCGTTGCACCAGCTCCCTCCTCAGACCCCGGTGGCCAGGTGATGGCAGCTGACCGCTCAGCGTGGGTGGGAGAGGGAAACCAGGTCTCGCACCATCACGCCACGGGAGCGTCTCTCTTAACGCCGACACGGCTCGGAGGGAGACAAGACAGAAGTAGTGTAGGGACCCGTTGCCAGTGCGTGCGTGTGACGTGAGTCTCCCCGGTGTCACCTGCTTCTCACCGTGTGAACACCCACCGCACGTCACGGACGCCATGGCCTCTCGTATGGCGTGACCCGGATGGAAGTCCGTGCTTCTCCTGCTGCTTCACTGATGACACGGCAGGTGGTTCTCTTTCTGGAAGAAAGACAAGCAGTTGGTCCTGGAAGAGGGAGTGTGTTGGTCTCTGGCCAAAAGGGTGTTCGTGGCTAATTTCAGCGTGTAATTTCTATGTGTTCTT